AAAAAAAAACCTAGTCACCAGTTAATTATTTTCCTTGGTTGTGTGCCGACAGAAATGTCACAGATGACTTCATGATAATAAATCTTGATATTTATGAATTCAGTTTTGTAACAGTTACCACCTTCTTCAATTACAACTCCCTCCCCTAGCTATAAGGTTCTTTTAAACCTGTCCAGTAGCAATTACATGTGGTTGTGCAAGCTCATCCTGAAGTCTACATCCAGTGGTTCACTCACATAATCTATGAAATTCAAAATACAACCTTTTCAATCCTGGACCAATTACAGAAGCAGGCAAAAGTAGTTTTCAATATCACAGTTCTGTTCTCTGGAAGATACAGCTCACTCTTAGCTCATTTAAATCATTTATATATTAATCAAGATTAAATTTAACAATAGCTAATAGTATAATTCTGTACCTGTAGATAATTAATTTAGTTGCTTTACATAATTTAATTTGTTGAGTACATTATATATGTATGGCCCGATGGAAGAGCATATGTTACATGTATGTGAATTGATACCGTGGATAATTATAGAATCCTACCTAGTGTTGCTTGTACATGTAGGTGGTTCAACTAGCATTTAACTCTGCCTTTGGTCACCTGAAGCTAGAGTTCAGTATTTCTAATGTTGTCACATGTATTGACCCAGGACTTCTGACAGACATATTTAACAAAAGTACATTTGCCATTATTTGCACTTCATCGTCATCATCGTTTGTATCTTTGGGCAATCTGCATGTACTGTAATAATTACTCATCGTCATTAACTTTTGTTAATCTGGTTTTTTAACACAGTGCATAGATTGTAAGGCACTGAGGCAAAAGCGGCAACATCTACGGAAAACAGCAGAATTCCTCAAAGACTTGGAAAAGAAACAAAAGATGATTAAAGACCTGCTTGATGTTATAAGAGAACTTAAGAATCATCTACTGAAACAACACCAAGACATCTCAGAGCAGTTGTTCACTTGTCAAAACTGTGGGCAGTACAAAATAAAGCAAGATCTTGTTAAAAAAGAGTTGACTCTCCTCCATCATGAACTAGAAAGGATGAGCCAAAATCGCAGTAAACGAATCTCAATGAGTGGAATTCCCTCAGAGCGGATCTACAACTTGGCAACAAGGACATACTCTGTGTGTGAAGAACATAGAGAAATGCACTTGCGCAGTAGGAATAGGCAAAGTGTGTGTCAACATCCTGAGGAGAAAGCAGACTCTGATGACAGTGTTGACCACATTGAAGGGCCATTGATGGTAAGTTCTGTTATTTCATAATGTGGTTGTGGAGTCATGGCAGCCTTACACTAATGGGTAGTACACTGGGCTCCAGATCAAATGGTCAGCTTTGAGCTCTTGTCAGGATCATTGTTTTGTGTTCCTCTCCCCACCCAGGTGTATAGATCATGAGTATCTGCAAAATTAATGCAGGGGTGTAACCCTGCAATGGACTAGCATCCCATCCAGGGGAACAGAAATACTCCTAGTCACTTCATGCTACAGAAACCGAGATAATTGTTATAGTCAAATCAAGCGAAGCGTACCCCTCAAGATTANGGGGGGGTATAAATACCCCTAGTCACGTAATGTTATAGAAAGTGAGATAAGTTTCAGTGGCATTGACCATGCAGCCTAATACAGTCTAACTTGACTTACTGCATTCTGGAATTCAGATTGTAACAGCTGTGTGATTCATGATTATAATTAAAATAATATTTTGTCCCGATCTGAATGGATATTGATTATGCTTGTCTCAAGTAATGCTACATGTGTTATGATGTTTGCTCTTTATAATTACCAGTATTGTACTTTTAGATTATTATAATTTGAATTTTTTTACTAACCACAATATTCTTTTCTTTTTCTATCCAGTGTGCATTGAATGTAATAATTGGTATTGGCAGAAGAAGAAAAGTCACACAGTCTTTGAAATCCAAGAAACCCTCTGCCCAAAGTAAAAGAAAGGTATGTTCTTCACTAAATGATTTGAATGATAACTAGCCTTATGTGTCACTAGGCTGGAACGAGATCTTATATCTTTTATTAATAATAACTAGGTATTAATAATATTTTTAAATCAATTTTCAGCTTAGCAAGTCCAATAGTAATCCATTGACATCAAGCTCAAGGCAAAGCTACATATTAGCACAGGAAAACCCAGTTATGATGCCCAGTTTTCTGCGTTCTCCTGACTGGTCTGGGGTTCCAGCATTTAAGGTGAATATTAAGCCATATTTTACTCAGGTTTACATGTAGTGCTGAGGGTTTTAATGACAAAATAGAATTCCTTATTTAATAGTATAGAAAATGGTTGCATTTATCTCACTTATTTTAGGATATTATGCATCAAAATAAAGGTTGTTAACATATTACCCAATCACTTTCCTGCACCCTCTGATGTCACTGACCTATTGTTAAATCAACCATTAATCAAAATAAATATTTATTTAACCATCCTTGACTGGTTTCAGATGTCTTCTGATTTCAAAAGACCCTTGTCAGAAGAAAAGTCCAGGCACAAGAGTCAGGATTTGCTTCCTAAAGGCTACAGGAGTCCAGCTACATCCCCAGCTAATCAGCAAGAACAGTTGTCTCCCCTTCAGTGGCTGAAAGGTAACCAATCTTGAATTTTCAAATTTACATCTTTTTTTTTAAGTGCTTCGTAAAAGGAAAGGAACTAATGGCCATCCCAAGGATTTGATTGCCACCTCTTTTGAGTTCAGCTCCATTGTGCTTGTGTGAGTTGAAGCTCATCAGTGAACCAAAGAGTAACTGATTATCAAAAAAATCTTTTGGCATGAAAAGTGATGACTTCAAAGTACCAGGGTCTCTCTGATTTATAAAAGAGGTTGGGGGGGGGGGGTGTTTCTGGGATAAAAGCTATGTGAAATGTTAGTTTTAGATCTCCTGCTCCTCCTTCCAACTCTTCCCACCCCCTTCCCCCCCAGCACCCATGCATAAACTCCCTTTGATTTCTTTATTTCCTGGACAAACTCTCCTGGAATGGAAATGACCATTATTTGCTCAAAATTGCATTACACAGTCACTTCAAACATGCAGATAAATAATGAATTTTCTTCTTTCTCCCTGACAAAACCTCCGTGTTTAGAGTCCTTCAACTGATTGTCATGTTTGATTCCTGTTTCAGATTTGGAACCAGATGAGCTGATCATTTAATGAACATGAAACAAAACTGAATTAATAAAGACTTGGTATGGTCTTATGTTCACGCCACATGTTCACTGTAAGAAACATGTAAACTGTGTTCTTAGATGGCTGTAGTTGTTAAAAATGTAGAAGAATCTCTTTGGAATAGAAGCCAATGCTGTTATTTGCTCCCATCATAGGTCTGCAATGTGTACAAGTAACTTTGTGGCTATAGTCCTGTGCATGCATTGCAGACCTATCATACATCATATAGTCTGATATTTAACAGGAAAAAGTCTTTTCAGCTGTTAATGATGTGTTTTTGCACCACTTTTTACATCATTAGTCCTCAGATGATGTAAGTAAGAGCAGCCATAACTTACATCTAGTTGCAAGTAAATAGTATTAGAAAATAGCCCAAAGAAAAACTGCTTGCTGATTTCTATAACTTGAAAGAACGCAGGAAATGTTTTCTATTTCTTAAGTAAATAATGGCTGAGCACTTGCGACAAATTCTCCATCCTGATTGGATTTGGTCTGGTGAGAGAATGCAGTTGTACCAGTACGGTACCTACACTGTATATTTGCTTGGCTGATATCTGTCTGAGTGGGAACCTACACTGTTATGTCTTCAAGACATAACTTCCTTTTAGTTCACTACATCTAGATTAATAGTTTCTGAGAGTTATCTCTGGAATGTGTATATGATAAAATAGTAGATTGTACTGTATTAGTAGTAATATTCAGGACTTTCTGTATATGGTGTTCTAGTAGTTGTAACATTTATTACTCTAAGAATGCGGCAGTTTTGTTTAGATGTAAGGTGTATTTCCGTGAGTAGGTACAGTTTTTTGGATTCACTTGTAGTATGTTTAACTTATATTGTTGTGACAGTGATGTGAATTTAAGTGATGTTACACAAGAGCCGACAGTAATTGCCTCTTGTGTCACACAGTAGATAGAGCGTGACATCTCTGGCAACTTATTTCAGAGTTGTCATGCCATGGCCCATGAAATGCCAAAGGAAAAGTGTGACAGGGAGATCTAAATGGAGCCACAATTAAATGCTTTCTTTTTACCCCCAGTTCTGCCACTACGAAATACTCATCTTGCATGACTAAACCTCAAAATATATTTATAACAAATAATTCTTACAAGAGAAAATTTATGGAACCAAACAGAGACTTATTCAAGGACTATTAATTATATAATTCCAACATCTTGATTTTTATTTAAAACCCACTCTCTTAGAGCTGCTGCTTCATATATCAGAGGGCAAGAAAATACCAAAACTATATTTATAGACCCCAAAATTATTCCTACAGGTCTCCGTGTCACTTTTTACCTGGTTATGTGCGTACTTTCAACAAGCGCCTCGCAGAACTATTTTAATGTTACTTTCCCTGTGATTTTAATGGGAATAAATGGGCAATTCTTGAGCTATAAAATAGAGTAATTAGTTTATCGTCTATTTGGGGTCAGCAATCAAAGAATATAGAGAAAAGGGTGTTTATATTTTTGCACTAGTTTTTAAAAGTGGAAAAGTGTAAAAAGTTGTACTTTTCTGTATTTGATTCATTGTACTTGAAGTGTTTAAGAAGATTTTGCAGGGCAGAGCCCTGCAATACCGCAGGCGGACATTGTTGATTGTGATCTGCAGTACGCGTGGTTTCAGACAATACGTTGCTCTCTGAACTTCCCTTTCAAGGCTCTATTTTTATACAACAAATCTTTTTTGTACAACAAATCTTGCTGTTGAAATAATGCTTCCACTTAACGTAAATACATGTTAGTAGTTAGTATTACCTTGTCAAAACAAGAACTTTATTTATCGCCGTTTGTATTTTAAGAAGGATCACAATATTGCTGAGGCAATCCTTTACTTAGTTTTAATCTAGAAATTTAAATCGTTCGTATATGTAGAATTTGATGCAAGAGGCTGGTCCTCTGTGGCACGGTTGTTTTTTGAACCTTTCTTTTTTCTTAATAAAACAAGTATGAAATGGCTACGCGTGTTACTGCTGTGGGGTGTGATCATACAATGGGTGAAAGTAGATGGATAGAAACTT